TCTGCGAAATTGTCGCCACTTTCGAGGGCTGATGGTGGGTCCAGCGGAGTGAGGCACTTCGCGGACCTGAGCGGGACCTCCCCGTCTTGGGGGGCTGCGATCTGCAAAATTGTCGCCACTTTCGAGGGCTGCTGGTGGGCTCGCCACTTTCGAGGGCTGCTGGTGGCTCCAGGGGGGTGATGCACTGCGCAGACCTGAGCGGAGCCTCGCCGTCCTTGGGGGGCAATGTCATTTTGTTGCTGCCCCGCCGACGTTTCATGCTCCTTGCCCACCGTCTCCTTTTGGACCTTGCGTCTTCTTTAGTGACTCAGGGGTTCGCTTAGTTACTCATCGTGTTTCCCTTGATTTAGGGCTTGCGAACCTTCCGAATGCCGTTCACAGAAGTAAATGCGTCCATGTCACGTCGCCGCCTTCTCGTCAAATCAACCAAGCTACTCCTGCCCCGCATTGCGCAGGGGTTGGATACGTTGCCAGGGCAAGTTTGGATTCCCAGATTCCAGTCTACTTAAAGCGCCTTCCTACTTCAATGATCGAGTGGCTCCACCTTTTCCGTCCTCCTTAGGGGGCGGGCGGACACCCAATATACTACTTCATGTTACTTGCTCCTTCCGACCGATGGGTAAAACGTCGACTTCCAGGAAAATATAGGAAAATAGGGGAAGCGGGGGGGAAGACGAGAATCAAGACAATGTAGGCAAGTCAAAGGAATTCTGGGACTTGTGTGTATTTGTTTGTGTGTCCTTGGGCCCCTTCATTTAGAGGGGAAGGGAAAGGCACCGATACAGCTACCCCTGCCTCGTCGCCACCGCTGGATGTGCCTCGAAGTTCTGGTCATGACGCACCCTGGGAGAGGTCCAGAGGGTAGCGGTCTCGGTACCTTTTGGTTTCCCCATGCTTTGGGGTCCGCCGACAGTTGGTGGAGCTGTCTGGGGGTCTGAGGTGGCCGTCGTCGGCTCCGGCGAGCAGTAAGGGGGGGAAGGGGCGAGGTTCGATAAGGTCTCAGGTTCGAGGGGGAAGGGGGGAGGGGGGGGAGGGGCGAGGTTCGAAAGGGGGGAGGGGCGAGGTCGAAGGGGGGGGGGGAGGGGCGAGGTTCGAAAGGGGGGGAAGGGGCGAGGTTCGAGAATTAAGGTGGTCGAGAATTCAGGGGCCCGCTGCCCTGCCCCAGGGCCGTCGAACAAAAGCTGATCTGTGGTGAAAGAAGTGCACGGGGGAGTCAGGCCACCCTTTTTGAGCGGATTCGCTCTGTGTTCACCTCGACCGATTCTCTCGGGGTCCATCCAGTTCGGGCCCCCTGGTCGCCTCCAGCGGCTGTGGCCGATGTTCTGGTGGCAGGTGGTGTCAGAAGTGCAGCCCGGACGCTGCGAAGAAGCAGGCGGGCGACGCTGCCGCTCCGGAACTGCAGGGGCAGGTGCTCCTGCAGAGGCGTGGCGGACACGGCGACGGCAAAGTCGGGCGGAGGAGGCCTCGAGGGAGGAGCCCCGTGAGGCTTCGGGCTGCGCGCAGGCGGGCCCCCCCTTTGCAGCCCCTGCTGGGCCTCCACGGCCCCCCCCGGGTGGTCCCGGCTGGCCTCCCCGGGCGCCCCGAGCAGCCCACATGGGCGGCCTCGGCACCCCGGGCGCCGCTGCCGGCGGCACGCCCTGGGGACGGTGGCGGCGCGGGGGGGTCTGCGGGGGCGAGGCTTTTGGGCACCGCAGCCTGCCTCTCGGGTACACGCCGGTCGTTGAAAGTATGTATTTTTGGATCCCCACATCCCAATCTACTTCAAGCGCCTTCCTACTTCAAGAATCGGCTTGCTGTTGCTGTGTTTTGTTATTCTTTGGGAGGGCCTGGACCCAATCCACTTTGTCCGCCTTCCTACTTCATGTTTTCACCTACTTCTTCCGACCGACGGGTATGGCCAGGAAATCCCGGGTAAGGGGACCCGGTCAGTGGTAGGGCCCCCGGAGCCTTCGAGTTGGCCAGAATCACGAAACCAGGTTTGCCATAGCTGGTGCTTTTTCGGGTGACGGCAGTTCCGGTGAGTGGAAATGGGACGGGGGGGCGCCCCCAGTACAGACCCCTAAACCAGGCTCCACTGAACCAAGTTCTACCAACGCCCGATCCTCCCTCTCCCAGGATGCAGCCGGACCGATGTACAAGATCGAGATCGGTTCGGGGAAGGTACCCCTCGTGCTCTTCGTGTTGGCTGGATGTCCCTGTGCATCCATGGGAGGGCCCCCTTGGATGTTCTGTGCGTGTTTTTGGCAGGCGGAGGGTCTCATGTTCTTGAGGGATGCTCCTCTGGCCCAGGTTCGACTGCACTGTGCTGAAGCAGAGAAGGAAGAGCTGCAGGGTCCAGACCCCCGACGTCATGATGCTTTCGCAACGTCGCCCCCCAGAGGTCTCGACGTCTTCCCGGGGACCGCCTCTTCATCCCGCAGGCGCTTGTTGTCTGACCGTCGTGGCCCGGTCGGGGCCCCGGGAGGCCGAGAGCTGCCAGAGCCTGGCCGCTAGGATTCCTCACGCTGCGAGGGGGCCTGCGCGGGGAGGCCCGGGCCCCTCTCGCCCCGCCGTCGACCAGCCGGGCGGCCGCGGCGCCAGCCGCAGCAGCGGGAGGAGCAGCAGCAGCAGCAGCGGCAGCAGCAGGGGCAGCAGCGCGAACGACCTCGTGGTGCTGCCCACCCACCTGCCCTCTGCGCCCAGTGGGCCAGCGCCACACCATCTCGGGCGGCGTCGACCGACCTCCTGGCCGATCGTGGCCGGGCCCAGCCTTGGATGTGCAGGAAGCTCAGAGGGGGGACAGGTACCCACACCACGACCCTTCCGCCCTCCCTGGAGGCCCTCGTCTCCACCGCTGGATGCGCCTCGAAGCTCTAGTCAGGACGCACCCCGGGAGAGGTCCGAGGAGTAGCGGTCTCGGTGTTTTTTCGGTTCCCCAGAAGCTGAAAGAACGGCGTGGATGTGACGCGGGAGATGCAACTATCCACAGCCACCGCGTGGAGGATCGATCTCCGTGGGCCTCGACGGGGCCCAGATCTACCCTCGCCTGCCGATGTCCCGAAGATCGATTCCCCCAGGCGGTGGTTATTCAGGAGGGGAATTAGCCTGGCGAAAGACCCAACCATATGCAGTTGTGAGTACCGCATTGTGAATATCTTTTTCGGTGGCGCTCCCTATGGGGCCTCGAAGCGCTGTACTGGGTGGGTGAAACGCAGGGAGCAAGGACCGTGTTGGATGGTGGCGGACGCAGGCGGGCGGTGCCACTAAGACCTTCCATGGAGCTCCCTATGGGGCCACGAAGCGCTCTACGGGGTGGGCGAAACGTAGGGGGCAAGGGCTGTGCTGGGTGGTGGCGGACGCATGCGGGCGGTGCCACTGGGACCTTCGGTGGAGCCCCCTATGAGGCCACGAAGCGCTGTACTGGGTGGGCGAAACGCAAGGAACAAGGGCTGTGCTGGGTGGTGGCGGACGCATGCGGGCGGTGCCACGGAGACCTTCCGTGGAGCTCCCTATGGGGCCACGAAGCGCTGTACTGGGTGGGCGAAACGCAGGGAGCAAGGGCCGTGTTGGGTGGTGGCGGACGCATGCGGGCGGTGCCACTGGGGCCTTCCGTGGAGCCGTGCTGTATTGGCGGACGCATGCGGGCGGTGCCACGGAGACCTTCCGTGGAGCTCCCTATGGGGCCACGAAGCGCTGTACTGGGTGGGCGAAACGCAGGGAGCAAGGGCCGTGTTGGGTGGTGGCGGACGCATGCGGGCGGTGCCACTGGGGCCTTCCGTGGAGCCGCCTTATGAGGCCACGAAACGCTGTATTGGGGGGGCGAAACGCAGGGAGCAAGGGCTGTGCTGGGTGGTGGCGGACGCATGCGGGCGGTGCCACTGAGACCTTCCGTGGAGCCCCCTATGGGGCCACGAAGCGCTGTATTGGGGGGGCGAAACGCAGGGAACAAGGGCTGTGCTGGGTGTGGCGGACGCATGCGGGCGGTGCCACCGGGACCTTCGGTGGAGCCCCCTATGGGGCCACGAAGCGCTGTACTGGGTGGGTGAAACGCAAGGAGCAAGGGCTGTATTGGGTGGGTGGTGGCGGACGCATGCGGGCGGTGCCACTGGGACCTTCGGTGGAGCTCCCTATGGGGCCACGAAGCGCTGTACTGGGTGGGTGGAAGACATGGAAGAGGGAGGAGGGAGGAGGAGGGGGAAGAGGAGGAGAAGAGAGGAACGCGGGGACCGTCTCTTCAAAACGAGGACCCAACAGCACAGGATGATTGGGGAAAGAACGTACAGGCACAATTAATCGTCGATTCCCCAGAACATGTGGGAAATTATGGACACTAGGGGGGAAGACGAAAACCAAAAAAAAATGCGAAAATATGGAGAAACCTGTTATTTGTTTGTATTTACTTGTGTGTCCCAGGGCCCCTTCAGTTATGGGTACGGCCGTCTCGGGATAAGCATCAACTTTTGGAGCGTCGCACGGAGGTCTTGGATCTGCGCTCGGCCCCGCTGGCGGCGCTTTCGGCGCCGTCCCCGGCGCGCTCCGCGCGCCAGCGAGGGGGGTCCAGCGCCGATCCGGGACATTTGCGCGGACCTTTGAAAACATTTGCTTCTGCGGTCGATACATTTTTGTCTAATCCCTCACCTCGTCAACAAATTGGCGACAGGTTTTGGGGGTATTTTCGGTCTACGAGCACCTTCTCCGGGCCCCAGGCCCGCAACAGGCCAGGATGAAAACGATCCCGGGGAACGGGTCGAGACCTCTGGGGGTCCACGTTTGGGCAACGAAAGACAGGGCACAAGTCCCAACAGCCGATTTTTTTCTTACAAGATTCGTTGTCCGTGTCGCCACCGACGTTGTTCATTCGAAGCGTAAGTCGTTTGCCCAACAGCGGTCGCTGTCAGTTTGGACACCATGTGTTGTTGGGCATCGTACCCATTTTTTGTCAGTGCCCATTTCGGGTGACCAACTATTTGTTCACGACAATGTGGACCCCCGGAGGTCTCGTCCCACTGACCAGGATCGGTTCTTCATTCATGTGCCGATTTTTGGCAGCCCCTGGGCCTGGCGAGGGCCTCTAAAGGCCGAAAACGGACAACAACCCTTTGTCGCGAATGTCCCACGATGCGAGGGAGGGTCCAGGACGTCGGCGGGGTGGCCAGGTCGCGCAGGCGATTCCTCGCCCCGAGCCCCCGAGATCCAGCCGAAACAGTAGGCAGCTCAGGAAAGGGGGGGAACTCGGGGACACACCCCCAGGGGGCCATTCGGCAGCACCCCCGTCGAGGATGGGCGCCCCCCTCGGTGTATCCCCGAGTTCGGCTTCAGGTAAATCGTTGGCGCGTAAGTCGCGGGCGAAAGGGTTCCGCGCCAGTGCCCTCGTCTCCACTGCGGTGTGCCACGAGGGCGGCCCGCGCAACGCTGCGGTGGAACGTCGCGGTGCCATCTCGCGGAAGACCCCCGGTCTGGATCGCCGCTCGCGTGTCTGCCCGCAGACCCGACGACGTCGAAGGCTGGGGTCGCCATCCTCTCCGTCATGGCCAGGTCGACGTCGCCGGAGCCGTCGGGGAGCCTCGTGCAGCCCAGGCCCCCCGCAGCGGCCGGGCCTCTCGGAGCAGCAGCCGCACCTGCGCTACCGGAGAGCGAGCGCGCCCGACCTCGGAGCGCCAGGCCTCTCGTGGCACCTGGCCCCCGCCATCTCGGGCGCTGCGGGAGGTGCGCCCTGGCCCTCCTCCTCCTCCTCCCCCTCCTCCTCCCCCTCCTCCTCCTCCTCCTCCTCCTCCTCCCCCTCCTCCTCCTCCTCCTCCTCCTCCTCCTCCTCCTCCTGTCCCTGCTCCACTTCGAGGATGGGAGCGTCCACGGAGTGGTTTTGCCCCAAGATCGATTCGCTCGCCGAGCGTGCCACAGATGCGTAGCGTGTTTGTGGATCTGCGGGCAGTACACGCCCTGTCGTGGGTCCATGCTGGGGTAAAAGTCAACTCTGCAGTCGAGCCCCTGCTCGACTGCTGGGGATCGGTGCGGTGGAAGTGGGCACGGAACGATCGCACCGCAGGAGTTGCACCCCGAGGAAGAGGGCTCGAAGGCGAGCACCCGCTCCCGAGTTCCCTGAGATCGGCGGCGGGCGAGGGGGGAAATGAGAAGGAGAAGGCCTTCTCAGAAGGCGGCGGGACTTCTCAGCGCCGTCTTCGATCAGTTTTTGCTGTGCCTTCGGGGAAGGCGTAGAAAACTTCTCCGAAGGCCCTGGGACTTCCGAAGCTTTGAGAAGGCCTGCTCCTTCTCACTTCCTCCACTCACTCGCCGCCGATGAGATCCTGGCGAGTCCATTTTTTCGAGCCGGGCGTTTTCGCCTGTCTTCGAGGCCCCAGGACGCTCCCCACAAATCGATCCGGCTCGAGAAGTCACGCAGAAAGGTGGGGTCCGGGCTTGGTTATGATTTTCTACGATGCTGCAATTGTTTTGCAGCGTCGGATCTCAGGGGTGCGCCGGCCGGAGCGGTGAGCTCGAGGGGGGGTGGGCGCACGAGATAGCCTGGCCCCTTCTCTACGTCCACTGGGAGGGCTCGGGCGGGTGGTGGTGTTGGGTGACGTGAGTGGGGGGTGGCGAGGGGTGCTCTGCGTGGGCCCCTGCGTGCCCCAAAGAAGGGCTCCAGAGGGCCCCATATGCAGGGTCCTCCTCATCACCCGCCACGTGCGTCACCCCCCAGTGCCACCCGCCCGACCATCAGGGAGGGGGGGACCACACCATCAGGGAGACCCCCTTTGTTCCTCCCATCTTCTCGCCCTGGTGGTGTTGGTGTCGCCCTTCATTCTTCCTACAATGGCGACCATAGCCCGCGTGTGTCGAGCGGGATTCATTTGGGCATGGCCACTGGACCCAGAGCCGGGCGAAAAAGCGTCCAGCGTTAATAAATACATCGCAATGCCCAGATCTTGGTGAGGGGCCTTCCTGCCTGCAACCGGCCATCATCGAGATTAAATGGGCTCCTAACCCGAATTCTACAGTGAAGACGTGGCCTCACGGAGCTCCCCGTCTCTGCACTGAGGGGCAAGAATTCTGTGGGCGGTGTGGTTCGGTACACCTGCAGGACAGAAATCTGTTATCCCTAATGTGTGGGTGGCCCTTCTAACGCAGAAAGCATTAGGCGTCCTACAGTGAGCGGCTTGAATAAGGAACACTTACTTTTCAAAAGGGGCTCGGTCGTTCCTTCGGCTTGCATGCGTTATTTACAGGTCCTTATGCGTTATTTGTTATTTATCGTTCCTTATGCGTTATTCCTTGGGATCAAAAGTGGCTTCGTTCCTCATTTATCGTTCCTTAGGTCAGGCCGATGATTGTATCTTTTGGTCAGTCAAGGGACGCACCCACCTCCCCGGCAGCGCCCGAGCCCATCATGCCGCTCGACGACGACACCCCCGCGCTGGAGGGCGAGGTGTCCGTCGTCGGCCCCCTGATCGCCACGCGGATGTGCCGGCGCCACAGCGAGGCCGCGCCGGTGGCCGCCTCGAGGGCCTCCTCGAGGGCCTCCTCGAGGCTCGGGGGAGGAAGATCGGTCAGAGCCCCGAATCATCAGGGGTAACTCGGGTCAGGGATAACTCGGGGTCGTTTTTCGGGATTCCGAACCCGACTTACCCCGGACCCGACTTACCCCGGATAATTCGGGCGTCCAGAGCCCCACATCATCAGGGGTAACTCGGGTCAGGGCTAACTCGGGTTCCTTTTTCGGGAATCCAAGCCCGAGTTACCCCGGACCCGAGTTACCCCGGATAACTCGGGCGCCCAAATCGGCGGTGGGCGAGGGGGGGAAGTGAGCAGGAGAGGGCCTTCTCAGGAAGCGGCGGGGCTTCTCAGAAGCCCTCGCGCCTGCTGAGAGGTGTCTTCTGCATCATCGGGGGAGGCTTAGAAAACTTCTCAGAGGGCCGGGGAGCTTCCGAGCCTCCTGAGAAGGCCTTCTCCTTCTCATTTCTCCTTCGGGTTCGCCGCCGAAAGGAACTGCATGGACCTTTCGAGTCGGCTGGGGGTCTGAGGTGGCAGCACCAGTTGGTTCCGGCCCGCAAGAAGTGGAGAGGAGGTTGGAGGTTCGGGCTGGAGAGAGTGTGCTTTGGGATCGTTTCGGCCTCATGGGGGCCGTTTTCGGGCGCCGGCACTGTCAAAAACGGATGCGGGGTGAAAGCCTGCACGGGTAAGCGCCGCCAGGGTGCCCAGCGCCGTTCCAAGGAATCCGCGCGGAGATCCGAAAGGTTATTTGAATGTTGGGACGGGGACCACCCACAACCATCGCCTGGACCTCGGCGGATGGTAGAAATATCCAGCCGCTTGCGGCAAGTCCCGCCACCGTGACGTTCCAGCATGCATGGTGGCAACTAGTCGAGGGGGTATTGGAGGCCCTCGCGTGTGACACTTCGGGCGTCTTTGAAGGTTCTGGGCCAGAAGTATGGTGCTCCCATCGTACTTACGGATCACATCCAAGAAATCATGTCGAGCACCCAGAGAAATATCGAGACGGTGTCGAGCGGCTAGCGCCTCCCAGGGCCCGACACGTGAAACATCATCAGTTTCGGTACTTCCTTGGTGCTCGATGTTCTTCCTGGTGCTCAGGGCTAGAATAGGTTGGAGCATCATAGGGCCAGAAGTTCTCCTGGAGCCTATGGAGGGAATCTCGGGGGCCTCTCGGTGCCTTTTGGCAGCGCCCAGGAGGCGCCTCGCGGGCTCTCGGGGGCTCTTTGGGCCGTCGGCGGGCGCGCTCGGGCCGTGGGGGGCGATGGCAGAGTCCATTTTTGGGGGGGGGGCTCTCTGGGTCGTCTGGGGGCTCTCCTGGGGGCCTGGAGGGCCGCCTGAGCGCCTTCGTGGGGCAGACTTGGGGCCTCGCGGGCCACATTGGCCCCCCCCCCCCCCTCGGCCCGTTTTGGGGCCCTCCTGGCGCCCTCCTGGGCCGTCCTGCGGCCATCTTGGAGGCATCTCGGGCTGTCCTGAGCCGACGAAAGCTCGAAGTGGAGAGACTGCGACAACCTTCCAGACATTTGAGGATATCGATGGTTTGGGCATCTTCTGGCTTCGCTGGAGGCTCTATTGGAGCCCTCCTGGGCCGTCGTGGAGGCCTCTGAGGCCGTCTCGGGGCCACCTTGGGTCCTCTGAGGCCGTCATGGGGGCCTCTCGGGCAATCTTGCCGGCCTTGGTGTCCTGCCAGGTCCGTCTTGGGTCCATCTTGGGCGTGTTGGGCGCCTTGGAGAGGCGTCTTGGTCGGAGAGGGCGCGACCATTGGATGGGGGTCCCTCAGGAGACTACAGGAGCCCTGCCCAAAACAAGCACTTGGCATTCTTCCATCCCTCAACGTACACAAGGCAGGGTGGCGGATTTATCGATTCGGGGCCCACAGGTGGCACAAATACCCATATCCATTGCCAGACGAGGCCACGGAACTATATTATCCATGCAGTGGTTGAGCAGGAATCATGAGTTGACAACTCGAACCCATACCTATGCGACGCTGAGGTTTCTCGGGGCGGAATTCCGTGTGTTGGGGGGGGGTATGGGTGTGAGTTGTCGGATGGGGGTTCTAGCTCAGACGGGAGCCCCCCTCGGGGTCGGACAACCCAGCCCGCATCCAAATTGTAGCTTCCCCATCGCCTCGCCTTTTTTCCTCTCCCCCCCCTTCTAGGTTTGAGCGTGTGCTGCTCTTTCGCTTCTCATCGGCTCGGTTGTGTTCGTGCTTTTGTGCAGGCCACCGCCAAAACCTATTGTTTTGTGTTGGCGGCGAGGCAGGGGACAGCTGCGCTAGCGGAAAGGCCTAAAAGGGATGCCGTTATGTCGAATGGTGCCACCATGCAGGAGGACGAGGACGAGGGCGAAGCTGCACGAGACTCTGCAGCTTATGACAGCCAAGAGGGCCACACCTACTATTTCTTACGGGTCTGAATGGAGGCTTACTTTTCAATGGAACTGACCGCGTGGTTGGAGAATTCGGAAGGGGAACAGCATTGCTTGCTACGACAATTTTTCGGCCACCTAGTGCAAGGGTGGCGATTGACGTGCGCGAGCATTCACTTCGACAGTCGAGGAAGCTACGTTTGATAATATGCCGAGACGTACATTGACCATGCTACTACTCCAGCGCAGGCAGTGTGCGCTGTCGAAAGGTGTCATGTGCTTTCGAGGTTGGGACGCAAACCGCAGCTACACAGAACAGTCGCACCTAGAGGCCATCGCCCAACACAGCTAACGAGATTGTTGGATCGACCTGGACCATCATATTGACAGGCTACACAAGCCTGACCGCGAGAGCATGTACAGATGTGTGCAAGAAGGGCATAGGCGGCAAGAACTATTCGATGCCACTGCAATGGAGGCGGGTAAGGTTCAAGATAAGTTTGAAAAAATGTGTTCAGGATGCAGGTTGGGATGATATGAATGTTCGTTTCGCCGCCATCACTCATACTGCGAAGGCCTTACGGCCGGTGCCGCCGACCCTGGAGGGCGACCCATGCGTTCTCCAATGTGGCGGGGGGGGCCTCTCGGGGCTTCTGGGGGCCTCTTGGGGGTCTCGCGGTGGCCTCTTGGGGGCATCTTGGAGCTTCCTGGGAGCCTCTGTCGCCGAGGGCTCGTCGGGCCCCCCGTCTGGGCACCCTGTTGGAGCCGTTTGGGGGCCTCTGGGGCCATCTTGGACGCATCTTGGGCGGTCTTGAGGCTCTCTTGGGTCATTTTGGGGTTCTTGAGGCCTGTTGGGCTATCTTGGGGCTATATTTGGGGCATCTGGGGCCGTTTTGGAGCGTCGGCAAGTTGAAGCGGCGAGAACGCCAAAATCTGTCAAACACTGTAAGGAAATCGTTGATTTTTCCCTCTTCGTGCCCTCTTGGGAGTGCTCTTAGAGATTCTTGGAGTGTCTTGGCAATCTCTTGGGCCGTCTGGAGGCTACTTCGGCGTCTTCGACCGATGATTCCCAGATCATTGATTCCCGACTTTTTCCAGGTACGAACGGTCGCGACCGATGGGCCCCAAAAATCGGTAACCGTTACCGACCCCGCGACCGCTCCGCGACCGACCCGCGACCGAACCGTTACCGACCGCGACCGACCGCGATCTGACAATGATCTGACGTCAGATCATTGTCAGATCGATTTTTTTCACGAAAATGCAAAGGACGAGGACGATAATGACGAATACGATCGCTGCAACAATATATACGAAATGCTGCAACACACCCTCCTCGTCATATTCCTCATCCTCATTTCTCCTATATTCTCCCGTTCCTTTTTATCATCCTCCTCATCGTGTTCCTCCACCTCCTCCTCCTCCTCATCATCATTATCATGATCGTTATCCTGATCGTTATCATCACCATCATCATCCTCATCCTCACCCTCATCATCATCATCATCATCATCATCGTCATTATCATCAGCATCATCACCATCCTCTCCCCATCCTTATCATCATCCTCCCAGCCATTGCGCGATGGGGGCGACCTTTTTCGAGGCCTCCCGCGCAGCGGGAACGCTGTTCCGCTCTCGGCGGCAGCTGGGCGGGCAGCAGCGGCAGAAGTGGGCGAGCAAGAGCGGGCACGAGAGAGAGAGAGAGTGAGAGAGAGAGATCTCTATATATGAACATGGAGAGGGAGACAACCTCAATCAGCTTGTTGGGACGCTTCATGAGAAGCACACGATCTGACAATGGTCTGACGTCAGACCATTGTCAGATATATGACAATAGTCTGACGTTAGACCATTGTCAGATTTGGCAATGTCTGACAATGGTCTGACGTCAGAGCATTGTCAGATATATGACAATAGTCTGACGTCAGACCATTGTCAGATCGTGGTCAGAGATGGAGAATTCTGGAAGGAGTGGGCTGGGTTAAGCGGGAGGGCTGATGACTCGATTCTAGAGCCTGGGAGAGGGGGGGGGAACGGGCTGATGCGCCCAGCCCAGGCCCAAACACTCGCGCAGACACGTACTAGATGGAGAAGGAGGCGAACGATGAGGGAGGGATTTGCATGGGGAGCGAGGTGGGAGGAAGGGGGGGGAGTGCGGAAGGGTAGGGGGGAGGGGGAGAGGGCGGATACAATGATGACACAGAGGGCTATGGGTGGAAACAGCGTGGTCGACCTCGAAGGGTAGGTACCTGGGAGGGGGAGGGAGAGGCTGGACCGCGCCTCCACGAGTGGTTGGGCCTGGGCCCCCTGCTACTCGACGCACCCGCGGCAATACTGCAAATCCGCAACCCCATCGGGGGGCAACCATGCCGCGACCCGATCGTTGCCCTCCCCCCATCCTCCGCCCTCTCCTCTTGCCCCTCCTCCTCCTCCTCATCCTCCTCCTCCTCCCCCACGTCCCCCCTCCTCCCCTCCTCCTCCTACTCCCCCTCCTCATCCCCCTCCTCATCATCGTCCTCATCCTCATCACCATCATCACCATAATCATCATGGCCATCACCACCGCCATCAGCTTCGTCATACTCATCACCAGCCTCCTCCTCCTCCTCATCATCATCATCATGTATCAGCATCATCACTATTATTATCATATGTAGTATTGTT